TAGATATGATGCTTGTGCATAATTTATTATTGTGCACGAGAAATTAGAATTGGAGGAATTGGAAAAAGTAAAGTTTACACAGTCCGGTGAATGTTTGCCAAGGTCACAAAAATAGATTGAATTCCACACAGAACATTTTGGAATTCACTCACGTTATGATAGACTTAGACATCTGAATGGTAGCTATATTGGAGTCAACACTACGATTTGTGAAATTCAAACACGTGGCAATAAACCTAGAGACTTTAGTGCTAGCTATGTTGAATTCTAATATTTTCTTACAGATTTCCAATTATGTATACAGAATATGTAGTTAACAATTTAAATTGTCTATAATCCTCGAATATGCTATGAGGCCATGTGACTCAACTGTAATTTCCCTGTTATTACCTGATATATCCACACATTGAGTGTTATAATCTGAGACTTCTCGTTCTGAAAATAAATCATAATGTCAACAAAATATAATCGTCAGCAGCTGATGAACATTGTCCTATTTTTTTTCCATACCAGGTCACGTGATGCATTCATTAGACCAGATAACTATTGTATTAAGTTACAATACCAAAAATTGCACACATAACAAATAATAGCTTTAGGTATAGAACAGGTAAATAATAATTGTAATATAACTATTATGTAAATATGTAAGCTGTTTATAAAAAAAATAACATTTTGAGTACTTGTCCAAAGAATATGCTTTGTTGGCAGCAAGGTGTTGTAAACAACATTCATAATAACAGTTATCTTAGTACTTGCTAATTGATACGCCTGTTTTAGGAGAGGTTAGTAATTTAATACTCTAGCAAATGTCCTGAGCATCGTTCAAAGGTAGATTTGTGTTGCTTTCCAGTCATTGCATAACTCTCCAAAAAGCCCCTGCTTGCGTACTTATTCAAAGGATAAATGCACAAATTTACCATAAAATAAAATATTAACTTGTTATCTTGATTTTAATTCTAAATTCCAGTTCGTCAAATTTTATTCTGGTATTCTTTTTGTACCTCAAGTAATCCCTAGTAGTAGGTCATTTTTAACTGATTCTCCAGAACGCAACTTTTCAACAACTTTCGGGTAACGAGATCGTCAAGCGAAATATTCCACGCATTTAATGGCGGTTTAATTTAAAATTACATGTTCTTGTTGTGCGTGCTATACGAGGCTATAAAAGGCATTAGACATTGTTAATATACGACGTTTCTACCAGTTGACTTCTGCAATGTACATCGGAGCTGTATGTTGTTACCTGATTCCACAACATCATTGACTTTGCTATACTAAAGTACATTTTATTCTGTGCATTTTTGCTCATCTCATTTTTTCTGTAAGGATACTCTTAGTTACATATTTACATATTTACATAGTTACATATTTACATATTTACATAGTTACATATTTTCATCCCTAAAACATTTATTGTTTTCGTTATGGATAAGTCATCAGTGTACTGTTACAGCGCGGTGCAGTGCAGCACATGGTTGAAAAAATCGGCTGTTAGTAATTTAGTGATAGCAACCTTTAAAATCGTATAGTAGTGTAGAAACCACTGCAGGTGAGCGTCCTGGTGAGTCTACGTCATGGGCACTTACCAAGATACTATTATTTACATAGTTTGTAACTTCATTTAACTTCTTTCAGTCATAATTCAAGACAAATAAAATTCACCGATGAAGAGAATACAGGAAAATATATTGTTTCTATAATATTTATGTGTAATCGATAATTATGAAAATTATCATTTTTGTATGTACATATGGAACACATTTCGTTTGAAATTATAATTAATATATTTCGGAATTTATTTGTCAAAATAAGATTTCAAGATTTACCCTTTAAAACGAAAGAATTGCACAATTTCGAAAACGGAATATCATTATCATATTTGCACCTTTCTGGGTGTTAAACGTTCTGTTCTCATTTTCTCTTGTCCCATGCGCGTAACAAATACACACATATGATTGTTACTCACCACGTCCATAAGCTGCGTTAATACCATCCATAAATGTACTTCTACGGCATTGCTGGAGTTTTGCACTGGCCTTGATAATGGATTGTACGCATCATTAATTAAATATTTCATTAACTTATCCTCGTCGGACATAAAACGGCTAGATCCATCTATAGTCAGTAAATATGCAGAACATTACATATTAAATTCAGCCTATAACTTCCTGATCAAGAGTTCTGAAAATACTACATGGTCTAGCTAATTTGTCGCGGCCGCAGAGGAGGGGTTTAATCTTACCAAAAATTCACCGATCAAATCATATGGAGGGATATATGGAGGGAAAACTCAACACCTTTACGGTGGACATAACTTTTGATTGACTTCGCATCACAAAAGATCCCGCGTAATTATTATCATCATTCTCTCGTATTTCATCCTCGCGTACGTCTCGGAGGAGTACATCCCTAATGAATACAATCTCACTCAGTTCAGACTACCATGATATTATTCGTAACACTACGATTCAGATAACTGACTGATATAATTAGTATGTATACGTATTGGTAGTGTGACACATGTGTATTTTTTTTCGTCACCAACAATTAGTCTAATTTAATTGGAGTCGAATTTGAATCAAATATATTTATAACGTATGAGTTCATTAATGTATTAGTCTACTCATCAATTATGTATATCCATCAATTATGTATAGTCTACACAATGTATCTTACTGATAACTCAGAAATGAAATTTAATCTCAGAAATGACGTTTATTCGATATTACAAATATTGAACCTGATAATATAAAAAATAAATTAACCGATATAAGTATAAAACAAGCGTCGATTGTTTTCAGTACATTAGTTTGCGCGTCAGTA